ATTATAAACAGAGTGTTTGGGAACATCCCCCAATGTTTTTACACAGAGGCCTCTAAGTACGCACATGCTTCTTGATGATTGCACACATAGGTGTCAATATATTTTGAGCATGCTCAAGCACACCCCCAATGACTGTACGCACAGCATGTACATACATTGCCTTAATGTTTGCACACACAGCTTGTACACAGTGTCTCCATGATAGTACACATACATTAAGCATTAATTGTATGTAATATCGCTGAAATTGGTTCATTAATAAAAAAATAACACTTTTTGACCCCTCAAACCCTACTCTGAATTTTGACCCACAATGGGTTCAGGATTAGATTTCCTCTACATACAGGTTTGTGTGTTTCATACACATGAGCCTGTTGATTCTCCAGACAATCTTTTAATGTTTGTGTGTACAATCTTGCACTCACGCATTCATGAGGTCTGTATGCACACAGTCTTGTACACACACTGCATTGCTGGTAGATTATTGATGCTGTCACTCACAGGTTAACTCTACAGTTGCTTACACTTTCTTAATGCACATACAGGCTCCCTACGCGTGTGCATGCAAGCTCCTTTTTTTTGCACAAATTTTCCTGTTGCTTCTCCCATCTCCCAGTGCTTGCACACACTCACACTTATGATGTTTGTGCACACATGTTCATGTTGGCTGTGCATGAGTGCTGAATCTTGATTCTTCTGTGGGAACTGTTTCATTTACTGAACCTCGAAAATCAAAACAGGTAGAGAAAAGCGTTGTGGAAAAAAATCTATGTGGAATGATTGGGCAGTGATGCAAATTAGGATTTCTTTCACTGATTACATACCAAAAAAATATGGATTTGCTGCCTCTTTGTAATAATAAGATAATTAAAATAATTACAGGTTAGTGTCACATTAAGAGCAGATTCTCCTGACAATTTCCCATCTGATTCAGTGTAGAGTTGGTGCGATGCTCTTGCTGAGGCTAGTTTTCAAACAAGAATGACATTAATGGTTAAACAAAGCACTGATTTTCATATTAGTGGTAGACACTCAGCAGTAATGTGCAGATTAGGAGAACATCGAGAAGGTTGAAATATTTAAGGGTCTTCAACCATTCTTGGTCAGGACAGAAGATGACATGTTTCATAAGAAGTCAATACTAATCTTTAATTGTATTGCCTTCATTTGTAAAAATATATATTTGTGTTTTGGTCACAGGGTGGCAGGGCGTGCCTAGATATTGGGGTCATTTAAAAGATTTTATCTGGAGGTCAGGATATGTCCCTGTGATGTAAACTAAGCATCGTAGTAGACTCACTGGCCGCACCATCCTCAGACTGAATCCCTCTCTGTCTCTCTCATATTGTTATGCTGGCGTCCTCTGCAGAAAAAAAAAAACCTTTATACACTAATTGCTCTGCAACTCCGCAGGGCGTTCATAGAGCTGTGATAAGGATGGTTGGACGCAGACTGCGTGATCCTGCCAGGAAATTATTTTGTCTGCTCGTGTGAGAGAGGACTTTTAAACCAGAGAAAATTGTGTGCCACGCCACCGTTATTCAGGAGTTGGGTTATCGTTGCTAGTGTGTTACAGAAGACTGACTACAGAGGGCTTGTTGTTTTAACCCTGCTGCCGCCAAATTGGCTAAAAATATGTAAACGGACAGGAATACTCAGAGGGATGGTACCAATGAGTAATATGGTACTCTGCTTGTCACACTCAAACTAGGCTTCCATTTTTCATACATATTTTCTCATATTGACACTTTCAATGTGAAATAAACAGTTGTTAGTCATTAAAGTGACAAGCATTGAAATCATTGTTTGATGAATGAGCTATTGATTGCTGATTTGATTTCTTTGTGGCCAGGCCCATGTGTGTCTGAAGATTATATCTAGTGAAGTGTACAATCAAACTACACTTTGCCAGACTCATGCAGCTTAATCGAAGAAGACACAATCAACCATAAGTAAAAACATGATGTGTATATAAGTAATATGGCATAAACGTATGAATTGATAAATTACCAGGGATCTGCCGTGCTCTCGCTCCTTCCTCCTCTGCAGCCATGCAGGGTCTCTCTAGCTAGATGCTTTCACCCAATGAGTGAGCCCTGTCTATCATGGAGAAGCTCAGTGGATCTCAATGGTTCCAGAGGAGGTAACCCCAGGTGAGTTGACAATAACATTATTTTATGGTTTAACAACTTATCTAGGAGGGTGCCATGGCACTTCTGCTAATATAGCCTGTACCTCCTGGCATTGGGAAGTTTTCCTAACAGATTGGTAGGTAGGCACTCAGTGGCATGTCAGTGATGCAACGTATGTTACTGGCAATACCCAAAATGTCTGGACACAGATCAACGCACACCAGCCTGACTGACAGCTTCCATACTGGCCTTACACAGAAGAGAGCACATTGTTCTAATGCACTACGCACAGTGCAAGAACATCTTATGAGGCACTAGCGCTGTTCTGAATGTCTCGGCATGCAGTGACATCAGGGAATAAAATACATACATCCGGGACAGGACCCTGAATTAGGGACTGTCCCTTGGGAGGCCAGCCATAATTACTACATTGGGATGTAGTGGTTATGGTACTTGGAGTGTTCTTTTAAGGAGTTATATAGCACATTGTGGCTTTGAGGTAGCACTGGGAGAAGAGGAAAGCATAAACAATAGGCGGTATTTCTCAAAGTGTAGTAAAATAAACATAATTCTCATTTATCAAAATGTTCTCAACGTTCTCAACATTATCTAAAAAGTGACGATTTTTAAAGTAAATTCCACCAAATTCTGATGAAATTCGTATTTCATAAGCCTGCCAAATTTAGAGTGGCAGATAAAAACAAAAAAGAAAAGTGAATCAGAATGCAATGCTGTCAGAAAAGTGTCAAGAGATTGATATACCTGTTGCATAGCCCAAAAATGGCATCTAATAAAAATTGATGGTTAGGCTTCAAAAGGAGTAACACATGAGAAAAACCAACAGATTTACCAAATTGTGTAAAAAATTAGATATAAGAATGTTACCAATACGTTGATAAATCTCCCTAATTGTTTTTTTTTTTTTTTTTTTCTTCACTGCAACTGGAATCCTGTGCCAGGACTGAAACGGATGACGAGGACAGTTGCTAACTTGTTATACATCGAAAACAAAATGACCCATTACCTGAAGGAAAGGTTGATACAAGTTAGAGTTGATTTTCAGTTTTTTATTTAATTGTGCAAATTCCTGAGAAATTTCCTTCAGCTTCTTATATTGCAATACTAAAATACTTAAAATACTACAAGTTGTGATTGTTTGATACATGTACGTTCAAAAGAGTAGACATTCTGTGGGCATTACCAGTCATTAATATCTGGTCATTATAATTCTTGTGGACCTTTTTCTTCATCAAACATTCATGCGATTTAATTTTCTAGAGGTCCAGATTAAAGAAATGAAGTTAACATACCCCTTGCTGCTCCCAACTATCTGCTCCCAACTATCTGCCTCTGGACATTCCCTGCTACAAAATACAGCAGAATTGTGTTCCCAGAATTTATTCCTTGATATCTAATTTTTCAGTAGTACACTTCTTTTGGATATACAGCAAAAAACAAATGTGAGAAAGGCTGAACTTGATGGACGCAAGTCTCTTTTCAGCTATGTAACTATGTAACTATGTAAATGATTGAATGATTATGTCACAGAAAAATAGAACCCATTGGAATGAAACCATTATCAAAGCTGGTAAAGATCCATTCAATTGTCCTAGCATGGATCAACCTAGAACAATGTCAATGAAGAACAGAAAAGGAATTTTTTCATTGAAGATAATAAATTGTAATTGTAATCCTAATATTCCTTGTTTTCCCACTTAAATAACTATTTTATAGTATGACTGAGTTGGGGAAACATTTGTTTTGATCCGTACAGTTGTTATAATCTATCTGCTTCTTGTTCACATGAGGGCTAGATTTAGATCTGGATGCCTGTAGACTCCAAATTCTCGGACATCCCTACCTTCGGACCAAAAACAGTTTTCTGTTGGTTTCTCCATGATGTGTATTTCTCCTTCCAGCCTTCCATAAAATAAAAGAGGTTTATGCACATTTTTACTCTAAGTAGGCATCTCTTGTAAACAGAAATATATGGACATCTGCATATACTCTATACTGGCCAATCCAGCCTGGTCTGCAGTGATTGATATCTACTAGTATGTATGATAGGGAGAAATAAGTTGTATAGCCATCAGCTTGAAAACAATTAATAACCTCCTGTTTCAGTTCCTGAATGCACAAATTGAATTGGAATTCTTGAAGTACGTTGTCTCTTTGTGCACATTTTCTATCCTTTCTATTTAAACCCCATCCTTCAAGACTCAATATCTCAATAGATTATTAATTTTAAATAATAAGATAAAATATTTATTTGATAGCGTGCACCTAGGTTGCTAGGTGGAAGAGAACTGTTATTTTTATTTTCATTTAGAATATAGAAGAGAATATAGAAGAGGGATACCCAACTAGACATGTGATAAATATATAAAGATAATATATGTGACAAAATGAAATATAAATGCTCTGGACAAAGAGTCCGGTTTACACTTATATATTATCTTTTTTATACATAGATACAAATATAGGTGGAGCCTAACTGCCTAGCGGACTAGACGTGCCCGAACAGGGCTTCCGCGTCTGGGAACATAATCCATGGTGATCCAGCCCCAAAAAGTGACATTTGCCTACCGCAACCTATACCACGCGACCTGGGAGAGGCTGCTGCACCGGACAGTACCTTTCCCGACCACATCGCTGCTGGAACGAGGTTTGCGGCCTACACGAGGAAGAGACCTGGGGAGACGGCTGCTCTCCGGACACACTAACCATGGCTGGACACCTCGGGAAACACTTCCCCCCACCCCTGGACCGACGGGGGTTATCTCGGTCCACGCCAGAACACCTCAACTACCGCACAGCCGGCAGACGGCTAAGCCTGTGGCTGTCTGCCGTCCAGAGAGCACTCACAACATGGCGGACACACTCACTAACAGAAACACGCCACAGTCCAGGCCAGACAGGAGTGCCATGCTGGATGGCATGCTACAGTGCATCGACGAACTCTTCACCCGATTCTGGGAGAAGCTGGAGGAGCGTATGATGACAGCCAATGGAGAGCGGAGGAGTAAACGGCTGCAAGCGGGTGAGGGGGACCCCACAGGGCATTAACTCCCGCCGAACCCCCAACCCACGTATACATAACCCACCAAGGAAGAAGACCAAGAGAGAATACCTCTCAAACCCCCCCAAAGGGGACAGGGGACAGGGACTAGCATGAAATGCACGACCACCCAGAACCCCCTGTACAATAAAGCGGCAACTGGCAATGGCCGTCCCAAAAGCCTTCCCGGGCCGAAGACCAATCGGAGCAACCCTCCCAGGCACCGACCACATCGCTGGAGAGTAGGCCACCACAGGCGGCGGCGAAACACCCAAGCTCTAAACGGCGCCCGACTGAGGATCAACCCGGCCTCACAGAGATACCGAGTTGGTGGATTGATGGTGCAGGCCTTCACAAAGACCTGGGGCCGGCAGGCGGCTGCCACATGCCCCCATCCTACTGCCCCTGGGGGCGCTCTCCAAACCGTGGGGGCCAGCATACCCAGTAGAGGTATCGGCTGATCTTTATCTCTCTGCCCAACTGACCGGACAATAAACCTTAGGTGCTGGGCTCTAAACTCCCCACCTTGAAGGGGCACAACTGATAACCAATGAACTCCAATTAAATGACAAACCTAACCTGTTACCTGATAACTGTAACTCCTAGGCGTTCCATATCCAATACTTGACACACCGGAGACATACCCGGCTTACAAGGACTTCCTAACCGGGACATGAAACCTAACATTAAGACCCGCACACATTTACCACACGCAGATGCTGAGCACGAAGCGGACAGGGTGCGGACCTAGCTCACGCGGCCGTTTTATAAGTCCCCCACGTTCTGGACTTTCCCACTGCAGGGCAACCCATCTTGACTGCCTAAGATGTGATGTTTCTGCACGTCTAGACCGGGACTCACAAATCTCTTTACTTGTTTCGATTGTGCCTGACTTTTCTCATACTAAAAATGCATATAATACCGCACAATGATGCTTAAACGCATGTCACCCTAACCCTAATGCACACCCTGTTAGGCCTTGAAACACAGCGGAAGGTTTAAATGTGCCATTAAATGCATACTTGTATATATGTTTTTCAAATTGCATGTTCGAAGCCTGTGCTACAGCGCAGGGTTGGAACACGGTGGATGTGACGCCTAAAGGTCCCGTAGCCTCTTTTCAAATAGGCATACGCATCGCAGCTACCTGGCAGGGTAATTCACACTGTTATCTCCGTGCACAACGAGGGGTTGACCCACGCCGGAGATTAGGTTTAAGTAACAAACAGACCTAGGGAACTCGGTGTTTAGATGTGCCCACTTCCTGTTAAACATTGCCGTACCCAAATGTTTATTAATCAGCCTCCCATTTAGCCTGTGTGTAACCTCGCTGGGAACTCTGACTGTAAATATGACTATGACAATTTACAGCCATTTATGCTTGGACTTACTCCGAGCGAATTCCTAGCCTGATTACGAGGAACCATAATGTATGATGTGCATGTTGCTAATATACAGGTGAGGCCCACTTCACTTCACTTAACTCACCCTTACGGGTTTCCTTTACCACTTGTAAGCGGAACATCGTTCAGCTTGGCTATACTTTCAGTTTACTAAACAACTTGTTCCGTAACCTGAAACTTATAATGAAAAAATGTGCAATGCTTCTTAATGCCATACCAATGTTATGTTATGTTTATATACCTGCTTACACCAGCTGTTGTGGCAGTGCAGGCATCTTTGTTTTCTCTAAGCACAAATAAAATAAAGATTGACAAAAAAAAACAATGAGAACTAAAAACTGCTCAGTCACCTATAATAAAAATATATAAAAATAAATAGATACAAATATATATCTATATATATATAATCTACAAAAAATAAAATCGATCACAGATAGTGTAATATTATACAGACAGCTAAAACCTGCTTGGACTAATACTAATATAACTGAACAATTGACTGCCCCTGGTGATTCAGAACGATTGACTGCACCTGATGAAATCTGTACATAAGGAAGAAAAGACGACTAGGGCGAGGAGACCAACTGATGAATATTGATTTGCTTTGTTTTTATTTTATTTTGTTTGGATTGCTTCTTCATTGCTTCCAGTTTGTGGAGACCAGGTGGAGATCATCAACTGAAGGATTCTTCTTGAGAATATTTTCGGATATGCTTTTATATTTGTTCATCTTTGTAAGGTTAGAAGAAAGAAGGTTTATGCAGTATGTATTATTTGTTGTGCCTACAATCAATTTACAGATTGTGAGTGTTCTATTAGTCCAAGCAGGTTTTTGGTGTCTTTATCATATTACACTATATGTGGCCTCTTTAATTTTTTTGTAGATTATAATATTTTTTATCTATGTACATATCTATTTGGAAGATAGAGAGGGGTCTTTGTATATGATCTACAATTTCAAGTCTAAGGGTAAATAGACATTGTATTTGGAGTCTAACCCATACTCACAGTTTTACTCACTGGTGTGTTATTCATGTCATATTGGGTTTGTTTTGTGTTTTTGTAGACATGTGAAAAGTTAGACATGAGGTCTGCAGTATAGGCTGCAAATGGGCAAGCACTAACCTTTCGCTCTAATTACTAACATTCTACCATCTCTCAGGCGAAGGTATAAATATTTGCTGCAAGGTGGCTGGATAGTTTGCGTGTAGACTATAGAACACAGATATGCCCATAGCAGCAGCTAGCCAGGCCATGATCAGACTTTAGTGAGACTTGCGATAGAAATCTATCTACATCAGCAGGGAAAGAAAAGAGCTACAAACAGAACTTACTTGGATGAGTTCCAGGCAGAACATTATACGATCTAGACATGGCTCCATGGAGTCTCCACGACACGATTAGATTAAGTAATATGTACATTATCCACCATGTAAATTAGAAATATGTGCCCGAAGGATATGATCATAAACACAGGAGGCAAGGAAGGGTGAATGTGAATGCTTAGAGCCAACCTTAATTTTTTTTGTCCATTAATCTCACACACCCGATAGATCATTAGACACTCTACCAATAACATGGGGTCATCAGAATCACAAATGATATATTTTAACCACTTGCCTGCTCTGATATAATGAAAGAGAATTTCTGATATGTAACCCACCAGACAAGGATATCATAAAGTTCAATCTGCAGTCAATTTATAAAGCTGCTAAGTATATTTGGACATTTCTAAAGTATCCCTTCGGGGAATGAAGCTTAATTTTACTGTTGTTATTGCATTTTTCTGTTACACTACTAATTATATTAACCCTGACTACTGATAGTGTGGTGTCTCATGCATGTAATTGCTCTACGAAGTATTGCAGTTAAAGATGAATTGGACCCAAAAAAAAAAAATGTGTTAGGCATAATCACCTTTATAAACTGTGTGGTGTCTTTTGTCATCTACCTACTTGACGTGCGCAGCTGCTCTCTTCTGATAATTATGAATAATATCAGAAAAATATAGTGCTTTGAAGCAGACATTTTTCAAGTTCCACCCAAAAAAAGTGATTTTCTTTTCTTTTCTTTAGACATCACAAAGTTTCTATTAAAATGGCTGAAGACATTAAAGGGACACTATAGTCACCCAGACCACTTCAGCATGCACATTAGGTCTCCTCTGCCGCTGGCCGCACATGCTCAATAGGTCTCCCCTGCCGACATCATCTGGAGCGTAGGCAGGGCCTGCCCCAGCGCCGAGGGACATGGGCGCTGGATACAGGTAAGTAACTGAAGGGGTTTTAACATGGGATGCGGGGTGGGAGGTTGAGGGGACCTGCAGTGCCAGGAAAACGGTTTGTTTTCCTGGCACTGGAGAGTCCCTTTAATGTAGCAAGGTCACAGGGTGGTAGTAAGTATAGTATGTTGACTTAGATCTGCTGTCCAAGTCTAATAAATTAGGATTATGGGTAGGGTTAGGTTTAGGAATAGCTTCAATGCTTGCCTTTGTTCAGAAAAGTGACACAGATACTGTCCCTTTACTATATCACATCCCTAATATGCAAGCAGAGAGAAATGTAAAAGTTAGGGGATGTTTGCTATTTGATCCTACATGTCCCTCAAACTCCTGGCAAACGTACAGCTGTGGGTATCACTGTACTTGAAAATAGTAGCAGAATTATAGTGGGACACAATCAAGTGGTCAGGATGCACTAGCCCTGTTATTTTGGTTCTGCAATGTAAAAAGGTAGGGTTGGTGTTAGTGTTAAATATAGGATTATAAGTAGGGTTAGGTTTAGAAATAGCTTCATTATAAGTACGGTTACAGTAGGGTTACAGTATCCAACTCAGACTTGGCTCCATGATGTTTGACTTCCTCACGCATTGCATAATAATTGAAAAACGCCCTCTGATGCTTATCTTAGGGAAGCATTGGATTCAGAGCTTCTCTATGAGAAACATTTAATAGGAGAAGTGCAGCATTTACCACGTATGTGCTTGGCATGCATGCATTTCTTGTCCTCAATGCTTCTTTATGAATATTTGATAGAGTTCTAACCTCAACATATGAGGAAAGGGATTTAGGGGTGATTATTTCTGATGACTTAAAGGTAGGCAGACAATGTAATAGAGCAGCAGGAAATGCTAGCAGAATGCTTGGTTGTATAGGGAGAGGTATTAGCAGTAGAAAGAGGGAAGTGCTCATGCCATTGTACAGAACACTGGTGAGACCTCACTTGGAGTATTGTACACAGTACTGGAGACCGTATCTTCAGAAGGATATTGATACCTTAGAGAGGGTTCAGAGAAGGGCTACTAAACTGGTTCATGGATTGCGGGATAAAACTTACCAGGAAAGGTTAAAGGATCTTAACATGTATAGCTTGGAGGAAAGACGAGACAGGGGGGATATGATAGAAACATTTAAATATATAAAGGGAATCAACACAGTAAAGGAGGAGACTATATTTAAAAGAAGAAAAACTACCACAACAAGAGGACATAGTCTTAAATTAGAGGGACAAAGGTTTAAAAATAATATCAGGAAGTATTACTTTACTGAGAGGGTAGTGGATGCATGGAATAGCCTTCCAG